CCCCCGCCATAAGTTTAAGATGTTATTGACAGCTGTCATGGATAGGAGAATAGGAAACCTCGTGCTGATTAAGTAGATTAGAGTCATAGCCTGGCCAGAGATTGGTTGTCATACACGAAATTAATGTGTTAATGTTTACAAACAATCACATTGATGTCACTACGCCTGATAAACCACGATTCTAACCTCGCTTCGTTCAGCTAGGTCGCGATTTTCGGGCCCGTGGCATAAAATAGTTGACATGACACACGGATCACAAAGTATTTCCGGAAGAATTTTTCCATTCGTTGATATGAAAATGATAAAATCTACTATTTCTAATGGAGATTTCGAATCCAATAGAATTGAGATATGAGATATTGATTATTTCTGCTGCTATATTCTCTATCAGGGTTTCATGAATGGAGTCAAAATCGTGAGGACCTAGTGCGGTAATTGCGATTCCCACGAATTAAGCACTTTATTTGAGACAATAAGCATCAACAACTGCTGGAGTCCTATGATTTTAAACGAAAGTTACGAGGAGCGGGAAACTTCAAAGGTGCGGCGGACGTATGTACCTAACGATGATTCCAACTCAATTAACAACCGGATGACCCTTTTTTATCATTTCCCAAATGAAACGGAAGCTACCACTGACTTCCCCAAACGATTTTGAGTAAATCTAGATATTTTTTTTTAATCCTCGTCTACCAACTATACGCATTTTTTTATTTAATTAATTAAAAATCGAAAACTTTTTCCCAAACAATAAAAATGCTTTCCTAAACATCCCCGAACGATTTCTAAATGATTGCAATGAATGAAAATCAATAATTAATTTTTCGTCTGCCAAGTATATGAAGGTATCAATCATTCTTTCTAATTGATAAAATTAACAAACTAATTGGCGCAAATTGGTCCAAATAGTTCAGCTTTTAATATTTACTCATGGATTTCAGTCATTTTCGCCTTTTTTACCCGAAAATGAAGAGCCACGTTAACAACCACGTTTCTCCGTGGCTCCTAAATGGCCAGGAAGAGAATAAAATTCTAGATAAAAAAGGTCCAAAGAGTTTTACTTCTACACCCAATAGTACGGTAGCTAGGGGCTTTCTAATTAAGTCCATAGGGCTCAACAATACCTACATTTGAAAAAGAAAAAATTCAATTTCACCCATTCATTAGCGAACACCTGAAGAAAAACTTTACCACACACATACATACATACGATTTAAGATCATTTTCAACTCACCAGGAAAATTTTCTCTACAACTCAGAGAGAAGAGTTCAGATTCTCATAAGTTTCTCATAAGTATCGTGATTCTCTTATTATAAGGAAATTTTAGTTCTTGAATTGCAAACTTTGGCATTTGATAATTGGTCATCAAATTAAGAATGATCCCGATTTTGAGATATTTTATGTCACACGGCGATAAAAGTATTATCTGACGAATGTGATTATAATAAAGAAAGTAGAAAAAAATTGTTTAGTACATTACATGCCCGAGCCTTGAAAAACAGATCATCCTCCCCCACGTGCAAGATTGCCTTCCGAACCGAAGGCGAGGATGGCAAGCACGTGGGGGAGGGTGATATGTTTTCCATGGCGAGGTGTGTATATTAATTTTCGTGTCGAGGGACCTGCAAAACGCCAATTTCGTGGCGCTGCGCACCACGAAATTGGCGTTCTTCAGGGCCGCCGACACGAAAACTTTTTTTCCAACCCTCACAGCTCGCCCGATTATCCTTAAGGATGTTCTACACCCTTTCTGCCAAAATTCACGTTTTTTTAATTTTTCTGGCAAACTTATGATGGAATTGACGTGAAAAAATATAACGTTTTTCCGTTTTGTCATTATTTAATGACTGACGAAATTTTAAGGTGGTGCGAACATTTTCCTGCGTTTTCTCTAAACTTTTAAAAAGAATCACAAAACTGTAGAAGAAACGCATGAAAATTATCGCACCACTACGTAACTTCGTGAGCCATTAAAGAATGACAAACCACAAAATCGTTATATTTTTTCACGTCACTCCCATCGATAATTTGCCAGAAAAATGAAAACAACATCAATTTTGGCTAAAAGAGTGTCGAACATCCTTAAAGTCAAAAATGTCAGAATCTCTCATAATTCTAACTATTGATTCTAATTAACTTTATTTGAAGGAAATCCCAATAAACGCAACATTGAGGAAGTTGAATCATTCTATTTTCTTCTTACCTAAATGATTTGGACAATTATAATTTGTTGATCAATCGAAAATACAAAGTTATTGTAATCGAGCTAATTGGGTCCGGGAGCTACGATCACTCGACGATCGCTCTGTGCCCTTCCCTGCGCTATAGGTACAATCATAAAATTACTCAACAATACTCACAGTATTTAACTCCGTCTTTGACATAATTGGTTTCCAAAAATCCGCGAAGATTCTGAACGCCAGTATGCACGGCATAGCCATGATCTTCAACACTACTAACAGAACACGCAATTTTGGATCCTTGCCTCAATTTGCCAACATCCAAATTTTGATTAATCATTTCAGGTTCAACCGAAAGAATAACTCGATGTTTACTCTGTGTATTGATAGTTTTTACACAGCAAACTACATAGTCTCCTCGTTTGTAAAGCTCCGACAGAGGTCTGAAGTCTGCTGGGTGAGCTTTTGAGGAGACTATATTCTGGAGAAGGTTTGTGTAGGCTTCACTGATATTCGTGACTGGTAAAAATCCACTCAATCGCCCTGGGAGAGAAATGGTGACATCGTACTGGGTAGAATTGTGCACTCGACCGAGAAGAGTCATTCCTTGTGAGAGAGTTGTGTACGTTAAACATTGTGCAGTCCTTGCAACGATTTCGGTATTCAATTCTACACGTTCACCTCCAAATCCGTCTGCATTAGGCTTCGGGTTTGACGTTCGATGAAATAACTGAAAGAAAAATAATTTCCATTAGCCGTTACCCATTAGGATGGCTCAAATGTTGAAAAAAATTGAATTTCGATTCTTTTTATTCTGAATATGGTAAGGAAAATAATGATGAACACATAGGAATTTTTTCAAATTTTTAAAATTATTTTTGTACTGGCGCATAGCAGTTCAATTTGCTATGCACTTTTACACGTTTTCACAGAGAGAATGTGATAATAATTTTTTTAATACTCATTTACTCAATTTATCGTTATCACCTTTTGTAGACTTTCTGAAAGGGAGGTAAGAAATATATAAAAAAAAAATTTCTCTGCAAAATAGCTATTTGTTATTGAAATAAAAATCCGGATTTATGCGAGATTTAGAGATCTTCAGACGCCTCTACGAGCCCTATGGAGCGTCCATTATTCGCCTAGATTTGATAGAATGATCAATAAACTATTTGACAATCGTTTGGGAAGGAAAAAAAAATTACAATAAATCCAATGCCGAGTAAAATGCGAAAGAAACTTGATAAATTTTCGTCCAAGGACAGGTGTCCGGCTTATCCGGTGCTTCCACAACGGTCGTATAAACAGACATTGAACCCAGGCAAAAAAATTGTACCTGAGGTACTGACCCTTTTAAGAAAGGGACCGACCTTTCAACCCGCGCGTCTGCTGACTGTACATGATTTTATTTCTTACATAAAAATGTTATAGTTACAAATTTTTTTATTTCAAAATTTACATGGTTGAATCGATCAATTTACAGCAATTTCAACAAAATTTGAATAGAAGAAATAGCGTCATTCTAAACAGTACCATGCCATTAATATAATTTTCATGTATCGTTGATATTTAATACTATTAATATTAGTTTCCAATGGTTTTTTTTGCTTCCGAATAGAACCATTGTAATCGTGCTGTTTTCAGATTTTCTAATTTTGATTGGGTATGATATAGAATGGTGTGAAATGTAAAAATACGAAGTTTGGCGACCATGTCTGTCGGTGACAATGTCCATCGCCACCTTTTCGGTGGTCAATTTTTGGAAAATTGAGTAATTAGTTGGCTAAACTTATTCCAAAAAATCTAAAATTTTGTCAGATTATAGAGCTTAACAAGAACTAACTCTGTGCAAACGTTCAGCCCGATTAATCAAATAGTTTTTGAGAAAAAGCTATTCGTTTTTAAATCGTTTGTCGCTAATATTTTCGAAGCTAGTCAAAATATTCGTTTCGATGCCTTATATCCGAATCAATCGAAACACATATATCCGTTCATACAAAGTTTTCGAGATATTTCCGTTTTTCTGTTTTTTCATAAAAAACTTTGTAATTACTCTAGCTTGTACAAAAATTGAGATATCAACTTGAAATTTGGATAGAATCTTCCTCTCATGATAATAATCCTTCCTATTAAAAATGAGCTCAATCGCATGAGTAGTTTCCGAGATATTTGACTTTCTCCGAAAACCTTTTATGTGCATTATCTTAAAAACTACGCAACCGATTTCAATTGTTTTTCAAAATATTTGCTTTGATGCCTTCTATTAGAATCAATCAAAACATATGTGCCCGTTCATATAAAGTTTTCGAGATAATTCCGTTTGTCCGTTTTTTTCATAAAAATCCTTGTAATCACTCTAGCTTGTGCAAAAATTGAGATATCAACTTGAAATTTGGACAAAATCTTCCTCTCATGATACCAATCCTTCTTATTGAAAAAAAGCTCAATTGCATGGGTAGCTTCCGAGATATTCGACTTTCTCTGAAAACCTTTTCTGTGCAATAGCTTAAAAACTACGCAGCCGATTTCAATTTTTTTTTCTCAAAATATTTGTTTTGATGCCTTTTATCCGAATCAATCAATACATATATATTCGTTCATACAAAGTTTTCGAGATATTTCCGTTTGTCTGTTTTTTCATCAGGAGGCAGGTATTTCCACTGACATTGTTGATATCTAATCTGAGCAGGTATGGAGTTTCCATTTTTTTCTTTCTTGAATAGAATTACTACAGATCCATTCGGAAGCTTACTACCAATGGAATTGGTAGTATGAAGGAATTGGAGAATGGAATTGGAATCTACCAATGGAAAGAAAAGGAGTTATAACATAAACTAACGGTCAGATGGCTTCGGCCAAAAAAGCTCGAACCCCTGCTTGTTTTAAATAGGATTCTATTGGAATGCAACAAGAGGCATCAAATTTAAAGGTATTCGTTCATTATCCGAAAAAAATACTTTCAATTTAACTTCAATTCTCCTCTATATAATGAAAAATTCATAAAATTACACATAACAACAAAAATGCAATAGAAATTGTAAAGCACTTGTAATAGATAGATGATATTTCCCCACGAATAAAATCAAATTATTCGAACTCTTGTTATCTAATGAATCATCATGGGAATTAAATATGTTAAGCGCTGTTCAAAGGCTCTTTTGATGAGCTTTTGTGACAGGGACAACTGCGAGCGCCTCTGTCTCGCACATACAGGGCAGTCGTGTAGTTGGGTTTCTATTGCTCCCCAGAAAACGCATGTATTTCCGACCTCCTCGCTATGAGAGCAACAGTGACGGACCTATACTAGTCGCTGCATTCTCTACCTGAACAGATCCGAAGAACCATCCTCTGTCATTTTTATAACCTAGCACCGGACCGTAATCAAGGATATTTAACTTTTACCCACGTTTTATAACCATTGACTGCCAGTAGGTCAGATATTTTAGTCAAACTTGAAATGCCATGCGCTACTCCAAAATTGAATTAAAAAATCGGAAAAAAATTACACAGCCTCACAGTTCCCTGGACTATTTGTTTCAACTCTAAAAAAGTTTAATTTTTCGTTCTTATTTATTATGAGCCATCCTATTACCCATTCAGCCTCCTAATTCAGTGGAGAAATACTGAATTGGTTTGAACAAGATATGTGTATCCCGGGCATTACTTCTCTAATGATAAATTTTATAAAAAGTTATCAAGAAATGATTTCGATTAGGATCTTGGCACTCTGTCATACAATCGCTCATTCCCGAAAAAGATGCCTACGCAAACACGATTCTGAACTTCATTATCTCCGTACTGAAATTCTCTTTCTTTTAATTTTGAAACTTACGTAATTTGTTACATTTTTCTTCGAAGGTTTTTTACCACCTCGTGGAAAATTGCGTGACACCATCTAAAAATCATAAATAAAGTAAGCTCAGAATTAATTACAATTTCAAAAAATGTTCTCTATGGAACTTGAGGTTAGGACAATGGTGTTCATAACAAACCTTGAATTGACACTACAGTTTTAATTCATTAATGTAAATATTTCAATATTTGAATTACAAGTATGAGTGTAGGGCAGATTGAATAATCTTTATCTATCACATTAATGTTTAATTAACGTACTGATAAATTCTTTATCTACGCATTGCACACTCTGGCGTGGTCCCTTGTTCTTCTCCTTCTTTCTATTTCTATGGCACTGACCAGAGATTATAGGGGAGATGAGCAGGGCCAATGTAAAGTGTTCAACAACGAAAATTGTAGCGGTGGCGCATGGACTACGATGGAGCGTACGGAACTGTTGGTATGATAGGGCCCGAGCATAAATTTGTCGATAACCAGAAAGTGGTTCTCAATACGGTAGCTCCTCGCATTTTGTAATAATTGTCAGGAATGTAAAATCGAACATATTATAATCAATAGTATAATGAATGCAGAATCTAATGATCTAAAAGTCTTTTCCTTTTTCTCGACATATTTATCATTGACACGTAGGTCACAAAATTCATAGAAAATCCCAGCGCTGTCGCTGGAAAACTCTATAGTTTTCCTGTGATTCTATTGAATAATTGTGCAGATTTTGTTTTTTTTTTACTATAGTAATGTTCGATTATATATACTTATTCCCCCCCTGAGTGAGAAAGGAATATGTATCGCGCTCGCTCCCACTCATTGTCGTCTCCGTCACGCTGTCACGTGCCCGTCCACCGCCAAAATTAACGAGTGCGAGTGAGAAAGAAAATGGAGAAGAAGGAGAAAGAAAACATTCCAACTCGTTTGAACGGTTGGAACATTTTCGTTGTTCTCCAGCGATCTACACAAAATGGGATTAATTCAATAATAGATTAATGAATAAGATTTTTCGCAGATTATTGCGAGATTTAGATCAATGGTTTGCCTCCTTCAGTGACCATAAAAAATTGTCTCCAATCGACAATATCTCCCGATGAAATAGAACGATGTGAATGAATCAAGTATCAATTTGAATCTTTAAAAAATTAATCCAGAGTGAAAAAAAATCCGGGAATTCCACTCTGAGATTTCTCGCAAAGAAATTGTCTGTTTACTGAGAAAAAAAAAACGTTGTTCCTAGGAATCGATGTGTCTTTTTTAGGCAGCTGCATTTCTGAAATGCAATGAGCAAGCAATGTTAAAATTAAGTCATTTTGTAAAAAATTTCTAGTGACATGATCCTGAAAATCAAAGGAAAGTCTTGAATTCAGGAATGATGTCTGTAGGTTTCAGTAATATTTTCGCGGAAATTCCGGGAACACTTATTGGGAATTTTTATCGCGTTGCCGTAATACGGAAATTTCAAGGAATTTCGTCATTGCAAATTAAAAATTTCTATAAATTTCAGTCCAATTATATGTGTACGTCCACGTGAAAAGGGCCCACTTTGTCGCATCTAATTTCCGAGATATTCACGTTTTTCTCTCCTCTCCATTTATCCCAAAGTTAAATTGATTTTTTGATCTTCTATACGGACGTCACACGGAGAAAAATAAATCGGTAAAAGTCTTGTGATCGCAAGGAGTTTCCCGAAGATCCCCATTTTTCATGCACGAAGAACAATGAAGCTTTTTGGAATCTTCGGGAAATTCTATTCTATCCTACTCAAGTAGGAGCGGAGGAATGAATTTTCAAAAGTGCGGACTAACCGGAGGGGCTCCTCCGATAGGGAAATTCATTTCTCCCCCGCCCTAATTACGATGAAAGAATGAAAGCAATATCTATCGATGGAGAATTATATTCTCAATAAATTACAGCGGTTTCATTGCTTAATCTTTATTAGGAGAGGAGGAATGAATTTTCAAAGCGTGCAGTAACTCCGGACAAGTTCTTCTCATTCAAAAATCAATTTCTCGCCTCCCTAATTGAGATGAAGGAATGAAACCAAAGCTTACCGATTGAGAATTATATTTTTATTAAATGACATCGGTGTCATTTCTTAATCTCAGATAGGAACGGAGGAATAAATTTTCAAAAGCGCGGAGAAACCTCGAACGGTGAGCCCTGAGGGGCTCCCCCGATTGGAAAATTCATTTCTCCCCCCCCCCCTAATTGAGAGAAGGGAATGAAACCGACGCCGATCGATCGAGAATTAAATTCTCAATGAATGACAGCGGTTTTATTCCTTAATCTCACGTAGGAGCGGAGGAATGAATTTTCAAAAGCGCAGAGTAACCCCGAACGGCTCTCCGGAGGGCCTCCCCCAATTGGAAAAGTCATTTCTCCCCCCCTAATTACGATGAAAGAATGAAAGCAATATCGATCGATGGAGAATTATGTTTTAAATAAATGACAGCGGTTTCATTGCTTAATTTCTATTAGGAGAGGAGGAATGAATTTTAAAATCGTGCAGTAACTCCGGACAAGTTCTTCTCATTCAAAAATTAATTTCTCCCCTCCCTAATTGAGATGTAGAAATGAAACCAAAGCCTACCGATCGACCATTGTATTTTTAATAAATGACATCGGTTTCATTTCTTAATCTCCGTTAGGAGCGGAGGAATGAATTTTCAAAAGCGCGGAGAAACCCCGAACGGCTCTCCGACGTCGAGTGAGCTCGGAGGGACTCCCCCGATTGGAAAATTCATTTCTCCCACCCTAATTGAGATGAAGGATTGAAGCCGATGCCGATCGATCGAGAATTAAATTCTCAATAAATGACAACGGTTTCATTCCTTAATCTCAAGTAGGAGCGGAGGAATGAATTTTCGAATGCGCGGAGAAATCCCGAATGGCTCTCCGGCGTCGAGTGAGTCCGGAGGGGCTCCCCTGATTGGAAGATTCATTTCTCCCCCCCCCCTAATTGCGGAGAGGGAATGGAAGCAACATCTATCGATCGAGAATAATATTCTCAATAAATGACAGTGGTTTCATTTCTTAATCTCTATTAGGAGAGGAGGAATGAATTTTCAAAGCGCGCAGTAACTCCGAACAAGTTCTTCTCATTCAAAAATTAATTTCTCCCCTCCCTAATTGAGATGAAGTAATGAAACCAAAGCTTACCGATTGAGAATTATATTTTTAATAAATGACATCGGTGTCATTTCTTAATCTCAGTTAGGAACGGAGGAATGAATGTTCAAAAGCGCGGAGAAACCCCGAACGGCTTTCCGACGTCGAGTGAGCCCGGAGGGGCTTTCCCGATTAGAAAATTCATTTCTCCCCCCCTAATGAAGATGAAGGAATGAAACCGATGCCGATCGATAGAGAATTAAATTCTCAATAAATGACGGCGGTTTCATTCCTTAATCTCAAGTAGGAGCGGAGGAATGAATTTTCAAAAGCGCGGAGAAACCCCGAACGGATCTCCGACTAGTCCAATGAACGTCGGTCTAACATACGAATGTTTGCGATACAGGCTCCATTTTTTATGGAATTTGTGATTTGGGCGTATGAAACTAATGGCGGATATTTAAGGTTCCCCAAGTTTGTGCGGGGGTTGAAAAAGCCAAAAAACTACCCCTGAAAACAGTTTTTTCGAAATAACTCGTGAATAACGCGCTGTGCGTCCAAAAACGTACTATACAAAGTTGTAGAGATCAAAATTCTACACAAAAAATGTTGAGGGCACTTTACCCCTATTCGCAACCGTTCATCCCCCAGAGCCGCGTGAAGATCAGATGGGAAAAAAAAATGTTTTCCATTAAAAAAATTGAAGTTGATGAATTTTTTTTTTTTTATTTCGGAATATCAGTGTTTTTTTTTTCAATAGCTTGTTTATTTATTCAGAGCGAATCTAATATATGTTGCTATTTATATCTTGACATTGAATCAATGAATTTCTTTTTTTTTTCCATATTTTTTATTAGAAAATTTACCACAAATTTTGTCTTGATCGTACCCGCGAATCTCCTATGGATTCAAAGTTGAACGCAATTTTCTAGCTTCAATCCCTAAATCCGGCGCCGTGAATGAGAACCTTTTGTGCGAGAGAGAAGTCTCCGTCTCACCCCCACTCCCTACAGTATTGTTCAGACTATTTGCGCATGCGCGCACGGGCCTGTGGATCGTCACGGACTGGATGCGAGAAAAAGAATCATTTGAGGTTTTTCGTCAGCCGTTCGCTCTCTCTCCCTATCACTCTCTCTCTCGCACTCTGTCTCTCACTCTCTCTCTCTCGGATGAAAAAAAGGCTGTTTGACGGAGAACTAAATTACCCATCAATTAACCCTCTTTCATCCCTTAATCTCTGTAATAAATGGAAGAAACTGTCATGAAAATCACAACGCAGTAAGAAAAATAATTGTCTCGCGGCGCACAGTGACTCCCGGTAATTAAAAATTCACCTCTCCCCTCCTAATTGAGATTAAGGGATGAAAAAAGGGCAGTTCGACGGAGAATTAAATTCCCCATCAATTAACCCTCTTTCATCCCTTAATCTCTGTAACAAAAAAATAAAAACTGCAATGAAACTCAGGGATNAAATTACCCATCAATTAACCCTCTTTCATCTCTTAATCTCTGTAAAAAATAGAAGAAACTGTCATGAAAATCATAGCGCAGTGAGAAAAATAATTGTTTTGCGGCGCACAGTGACTCCC